AGCCCGGTACCAATGGCTACATCTCCAACACAGCTTCTGCACCTAAGGCTCAGGGATCATTACATCAAAGGGGGAAGATGATTCTAAGAGTGAGAGGAACAGGGAGTTTGCTGTGAAATTGTGTCTCCTAGAAATGTTACGTCTATGAAGTTACATTTTTGAAGTCTCAACAACATGGTTGCCTGAATATGACCTGAGCAAGGATTACACAAATAGGCATGCTGACATAGAAGGAGGAAATTTCGTGAGGCATCAAACCTACACAAAGAACTACAGGCAACCAAGGAAGGTTGACAGTGGGAAAAACAGTCTTTCCCAGGGAAGAGCACACCAATTAGTTATGCAGTACCAAATGGTCTGCCCTGAAAATATGTACATACAAGTAACATATGTGCTAAGCAGGTTGTATGTCTATATTTAGGAACACACACACACATTAAAGGTAAAAAGTTTATGAATTTGAAAGAGAGTAAGGGGTGGGGGTACATAAGGTTTGGGAGGAGGAAATAGAAAGTGGGAATAATGTGATTATTTTTAATGAATCTCAAAAATAAATTTATTTAAAAAAAAACACCATGAAAATAAAATGTCTTCAAACCTACAAAGTACCAATTATAACATTCCATAATAGCAGATCAGCAAAAACATTTTCTTCAGCTTCTTTTCTATTTCTTTTTCAGATGTAGTATTTTCTCTTTTTTTATACCATCAATGTTTTTTATTAATAATAATACTGAGCTGTACATTTTCCCCACTTCTCTTCCCTCATCACCTTAAATGTAGCCTAGTCTGGCCTCTGATTCATGATCCTCCTGCCTCCGCCCCCGTCAGCAAATCCTATAGGCATTTTAACACCAGAGGACAAGGAAATTTAGGGAGAAGGGAGGTCAGAGGACCAGGGGAGTCACTGGCAATCTGAACTACGCTTCTTATATGTGAAGTACAAAACTGACTGGAAAAGAAATTTGGAATTTTCTAGAACATGGGAGTGAACACTTTTTAAAAATTTTGTGAGGGCTACAGTAATTGGTGCACATCTTTTTTTGACAGGGTTTCTTTGTGCAACCCTGGCTGCCTGGAACTTGTTGTGTAGATCAAGCTGGCATGGAAGGCATGAGATCCATTGATCTCTGCCTCCTGAGTGCTGCAGTCAAAGGTGTATGGCACCATACTAGTAATATTAGTTTTTTTTTTTAATTAAAATGAGTCACAATGTTACCACTGCAATACATTCAAGCATGTTGTTCATGATAAACTTTAGCCTAGTAAGCAAGGAAGTGGAATGAGTCAATTTAGTGAGATATTGGGCCTCTCTTGACAACCCAGAAGACTTTGCCTGGAAGATTCCAAGTGAATGATTTTAACAGTGTCTAGAAGAGTGACTTGCAAGGATGGTTACAAACATACTGTTCCCGAAGTCCTCTACAGAATGATTCAACTAAGCTCATGTCCTCAAAATCTCATGAGTTCATTTGACTGAGTGTTTTGACTAGAGTAGAAACTGATCATTTTTGTAGGAAGTTGGGACATTTTTAAAAAGTATGTCAAATTCCTATATACTGATATTTAATATTGTGATATTCTAGTTGTTCATGTAATTAGCCAAAGTGGAAACAAAATTACATAGACAGGAAAGCAAAAAGCAAAATAATATTTTTTAAACTTGCATTTTATGTGTTTACAAACTGCAGTTACAAACAATTGCCAGTCACTGTATGAGTGTGTATAAATGCTAGGAATTGAACCTAGGTCCTCTGGGAGTGCATTTAACTCTCTGAACCATCTTTCCTGCTCCAAAATAATGCTTTTAACATGGGTATACACCTGGCAAGTCAGTGGAATCCAAATAGAAAATATGTTATAAACAAAACTTTTATAAATAATAGAAAAAACTATTAAAAAGGGGAAAATTCAGTTATATCTCAGCTAATGTGATTGCTATAAAAAAGTGACTGGTTTGAAAATAAGAATTGCAATACTCATTTTTTATAACATCAAATCCTATAAAATGCCCTGGAATAAGTGTGAAAAGCAGTGTATCAAGCCTACTAAGTAAAAATTCAAAATCCTACTAAAAAGATAGAAAATAAGCCCAAGAAAATGGAAATACAGAATCCACTTTTTGGTGTGGAAGGTTTAACTTACATGATGTCAGTTTAAGTTAATGTGAACAGAATCTCAATTTAAATGGCAATGTAAACTAATTTTAGTATTTGTAGGGTGTGACGCTATTAAGCCTGTGAAACACACAATAAATGATAAAAAGCTCTAACAGTTAAAGCAGTTTGTTACTAAGTTAATTTGACAGGTAATGGAAGCATAGAATTCACACACGCTAAGTGGCTTCCCTGGTCCACCTGGCTGTGTTTTCCTGCCTGAGCTGTTGTGGTAGCTGGCTGAGCAGCTGTCCCAAAGCCACATTTACCTCTGCATAAGCTGACCTCATCAGAGTAGTAAGAGTGATTGTTTGAGGGCACAAGACGGAGCCAGGTATGGTGGTACCTGTAATTCCGGTGCTCAGATTGATAGAGGGAGATGGCAAGCTCTGGTCAGCCTGAGATATGTCGTGATTTTCAGACAGTCTCCATCGTTGTCTCTCAGTCACTCTGGGTTCTTTGATGCATCTTGAATATTCTACCTTAGAAGTCATTTCTTCCTCGAATAGTTAAAGGCTAACTCGCAACCTTCTTCAAGTCTTTGCTTAAGAGTGGCCGTGTCAGTGCGTCTCTCTGGCCATCCTGCGTCTCTTGTTCCCCATGGGTGGCTTCCCTTACTCCCTCCTGCCATGTGGGCTGTTCTTTCCTCACACACTTGTGCTGGAGTGTTCCTTTTCACACAGCAGATCATTGGTGAGTCTTGTCTACTCACTAATAGATTCTAGGGTGCCACATTATGTTGAATCAACCAATAAATTGCACAATCAGAGAGAAAATTGAAAAAGTTTATATATACATTGGTATCAATGTGAAATAAATACCCATAACTTTTGAAGTGCTTGTCAATGCATGCTGTACTTGTAGAAGAATAGCAAAAGCATCTATTATGGTTGACTTAGTGAGAAAGAGTTCCAAGAATTGGAAGAATAGCACATTCAGGGCCACTAGAGCTTGAACCTGTCACTTCTTCATTAAGAAATATATACAGTGTATAATTGAGCCTAATTCTGCAAATAAAAGTTCTTCATAAAGTTGAGGCTCAGCTATTGAGCACCTTCAAAAGTGTTCATTTGTTCAGCTACAGGGTGTCCTGTATCTACCATAAGTTCTCAAAGAAGCCTTGACAACATCACAGCTTTCCAGTTCCCTTGACTCTGTAGTTCACTGTCACTAATAGTCCTGAGCTGTTCAGTTTTATGAGACATTTTCTTCACTGTACAATGCTACAGAGATATCTTAACTATGGGAAAACCAGCATATATATATATATATATTATAGACAAGGTCTCTCTACATAGCCTTGGCTGGCCTAGAGTTCACTGTGTAGACCAGGCCGACTTTGAACTCACAAAGATACACCTGCTTCTGCCTCCTGAGTGCTGGTGTTAAAGTTGTGTGCCACCACACCCACCAAGATATTCTTAGTTTAGAATTTACAGTGTGAAGGCCAGCAAGCCTGTTGACCTAAGTTTGATTCTCAGAATTCCCATGGTGGGAGGAGAGAACCAGGCCCTTCAAGTTGTCCTTCAGCTTCCACACATGTGCTGTGGCTCACATACACAACTGCATAAATATAAACATTAAAGTTAACAAATTGAACTGCCTACATTTTTATCTGAGAAATAATAACTCAGGAAATGAATGAAATTTACATATGTGTATGAACGTCTATTTTATTGTATTATATTCTTTCACTCATTTAATTCTGTACCAGTAATTGCCATAGCCACAGCTAAGAAGCATTTACTGAATGCTCAGGTGTCAGGCCAGGTGCTGTGTAAGATACACAGATGAATATACATCATCTTCACATATCTTTGCTTATGGATGGTGACAGTCATGGCCAAATGTAACTATGACACATGTCATAATGTAGCAACGCATTAAATATTGGGCACCATTGGGGCATATAGTTGATAGTAATTTAGAGACCACAAGAATAATGTGGCATTTTAAAAGGGCTTTGTTCACAGTTTTATTCTGTGAGTTGAGACAGAATGTTGTAGGGGATGAAAATTCTGTGCAAATACTGCATTATCCCTTTTTATCAGAGACAAGCCTGAGACCTTTATACATAGGTGGTAAGTATGTATAGGTAGAATAAATATCTATATTTCCCCTTGATGGTATTTTCAAAATGAAAATTATGCCATACATTTTATAAATTGTAACATTGAAAGGCATCAAAACATCCCCTAGCAATTAAGAAACTTTGGAAAAATTTCTATATTCGGTGATTGATAATTTTAACTCAGATTCTTTTGTTCAGTTTTTAAACATCTAGAAAATGTGCTATGTCTTTTTAGAACAACACACATTGAATTCTTATTATTCTAGAAAACCATCATCTGTTGTCTTACAAATACTCTTGAACACTCAGGTGTTGGATGCTCATACTCACATATTATATACACGGAGAGGCTGGAGTACAGAAAGCCTAAGAAATGTATATGTGTGTGGAGGTCTGCCACAACGTCCAAACTGACTGCAAATAGATTTAATGTTTGTACACTAAGAAGATTGCTTTGTTATTTTCTACCACTCTGGTATCATTCTCTGCCACACAAAGTGAGGTTAGGGTTACCCAAGTCAGATGTGCTCATACTGACTTTTTCTCACCCTGGGACCATGCGAGATGCATCATATCATCTTAATGAACTGGTTATTAACTTGCAAGATTCTCACAACACTGCTAAGCTTTAAAATGCCTAACTGGTAATATTACAGAGTACTCAGTTAGAGCTAGTTCCAGCAAGTAGTTAAGTAAAGTATATATCCTAAAACAAAATTAACATTTAAAAATAAACACTATACGTTGTCTGAATTTGTCATTTATTTATCTAGACAGCAGCGTGTACAAAAAGGAAGAGGTGGTATGTAAGTGCCCTTGAGGAGGCGTGCCGACTCTACAGGCATTCTCCTGAACAAAGGTTACAAGTGTGCTGCCTGTCAAATCGGGGTACGTGCAGTTTCCTTCTCACCGTCCAATCAGAGCTGGGTGCATGCTTTCTGAAATGTGTTTGCATATTTAAAAATATGTGTCCTTTCATCATATGCACATATGGCTATGTAGTTTCTGTTCATTGTAAAAGAATTTTCAAGTGAATTAACAGCGATAGCTTGTCCTCCAAAACTGTTCTCAGGGACTGAACTCTGTTTAAACATGGGCCTGGTAACTAGTGCTCCCTGGTGTTTTACTTACTCTCAGGCTGCATAGACCATTAGCTCAAAACATGTAATTCAAAAGTTAGGAACCATAGATTTAAAATGTATTCCTAGTATGATAATTTTAAATGCATGTGCTCAGTTTTATATTATTGTGCTTTGTTTTTGAGAATACAGTGTTTTCAAACTGCTTGATTTTAACAAATTCAAAGCAGGGGTGAGCTATATAGTCACAATTTTAAGTTGTTTTACTTTGTATTTATTATCTATTGTGGACACACCATGGTGTGCATGTGGCGGTCAGAGAACAACTTTAGGGGATCAGTTCACTCATTCAACCAGGTGGGACCTAGGGTCGGTCCAGCTCACATCAAAAGGCAAGCACCCTTCCTTACGGGCTGAACCATCTCACAGGCTCACGAGTGTTTTTTAATTGAAATTATTTTTTCCCGTATACATAACTGCATTTTACTTTTATAAAAGTTCCTCCTCACTCTTAAACATCTAACTCTTTCCAGGTCCCTCCTTCCCATTCCCTCCCAGCTTCAGTGTTACCCTCATGCACAGAGATTAGGGCTGTCCACCGTGCCACTATCAATCTACTAGGAGCTCTGTCCTTCACAAAACTACCTTTGTCTTTCCTGGCATCTGTCAGCTACTTGTAGCTTCTAACCAGAAGCGGAGCCTTGTGATCCACCCACTCCATGTTAGGTTAATCTTGTGCAAGCCTTGTGCAGGCTAACTGCTCGATAGAGTTTATGGGAACAGCTGCCTGTCACATTCAGAAGACACTGTTTTGTAGCAATCATCTGAAAATTTTCCTGCTTCTGCCCCTTTGTTCATGATGCTTCCAGGACCTCGTGGGAGGCCTGTGACACAGGCGTCTCGTTTAGAGATGAGGGGTCCACAGTGCTTATTCCGCATCATTTGTGTTCTTTCTGTCAGCCCTGCCCTGTCAGTCTGCAAAAAGGGGGCTTCTCTGATGAGGATGAGAGCTGGGCTGATCTATGGGTGTTTAGAAGGCAGCTGGAAACCATATCCGTTTACAAGATGCCCTCTCTCCAGCTGCAGGGTTTGGGCCAGGTTTGCTGTACCAGATGTGAGGTTCTTCCTGTTGACCAGGCCTTAAATCTGATCAGATACTGTTGGTTACCCCCCAAGACATTCATGCTGTGATTATGTCAGTGGGTATACATGGCCAGGGGAGTCCACAGGTTCTCAGCTGGGTGCGACTGTTGATATCTTTTGTCTCACAGCCTAGCACCTCACAGCACTCTGAAAAGCTGGCCTTAAGGAAAGGAGGTTTGGAGGTTGGTGCCATCTTGATTTTTTTTAAAGTTCAAAGCATGCAGCATTTTCTGCCGTAGGTTGTTACAATCAACTTCCGATGAGCAACCAAGGGCAGTGGCAATAGCCTCCTCAAGCTGCTTTAAAAATTATATTACAACTATAATCTAATGTTTTCAAGCTTAATACAGTGTTTTCATTATACATTATATTAAATACATCAGATATTTTAACTAATACACCAGGTCATTTTCAGGAAAAATTCTTGAACCATAAGATGTTATGGTTTATCATGCGTAGCCTTTAAATTCACTCACTTGAATGGCTCAGTTGGCACAGCACACTTAAGATTATGACTGTTCCATGAAATAATTATAATAAACTCAAATATTTCTTAAAACATTTTTGTGCAGTGATTGCAGTAATTTTATAGCCCCACAGCCTTATGTCTGTTACCTTAAGTTTGAAAGTAGGGCCTTTGTGTAAAGAGCTGACCTTCAACTGAACCCTATATAGTAATAGCGGTTTTCTCCATTGAAAAAGTGTCATGAATATTCTCAGTAAATTTGTATAGGAAGCTTTTGATTTGAGAAGAGTTTAAATACCTATCCACCTAAGTTTAGGCTTCAAAGTCATTCAGTTGCCTAAAAGAGGAAAACTGGCAAGTATTGCAGCTCTGGTCACCAGAGACCCTGACTCCTACAGATGTGACTTGTTGCTTATACTGGCAATTCTATTTATTAGCAGCACAGGTTCAGCTCACTGTGTTGTCACAGTACAGCTCTGTCCATATCCAGTCATTTCTTGGTCAACATTCTATCCTTAAATAACATAGTCACTTAGCTGAAGGGGGATTACTTCTTTACCACTAGTGCTGACTTGCTGTCTCTCAGTGGTATGGACTGTCTTGGTTATCAGTATGCTGAGCTGCTTGTCTCCTGTCCTTTGCCATTTCCCCTGCCCAGAGACCCTCAAGAACAGTAATTCTCTGGTTGGTTCTGTAGCAAAAGTGAATTCTCTTGCTAAAAGTTTGGTGACTTTTATATGCAGAATTTGATGTAACTCAGCCTTATTTTTGAGAGCCATGACCTCAGGACATAATTTTTGTACTTAAGTAGCCAGTGTAGGAGGTTGGGAAAGATGTGTAAGGCTTATGTCTTTGCCAACTCATGATTGCTTTTATAAACCTGAAGCATCAACTCAATAATAGTTGATTCAATCAATAGCGTCCAGTGTGGAGTTGGGTATAGTATTTAGATTCTTATTGTATCCAGAAATAGTTTTCAGAGGTTATCTGACATTAAGGTATTTCACTATAGGCAAGTAGCTTACAGGCAACTTGGAGGCCTTTTTCTGAAATTTTCATACTCCAGCTGAGAACTAAATACTTTAAATATTTAGTCCATGTTCATTTTACCTGTAACAAGTAACACTTTATAGTTTTTAATGCAGCTTCTATATTTAAAGTGTACATGGTCATTCGATGATACGTATAAAGGACTCAGACAATGAATTTAAAGTTCTGATTTAATCGTGACTTTTGTTCTTTGTTTTAATTAGCTAACAGTCTAACTTAGTAATTCCCTTACTGAAGCTTGAAAACTTCAATAAGCTTCACACTTGCTAGGCAAATATTACCATTGCTCGGCCCTATGCTCTACATTTGGAGTGGGTTTGCCTACCTCTACTTTCCCCCCAGAATTACTCATGTTTTTACAGATGCCCATGTTTAGAGAAGTCTTGAGTCCACAGAAATTGGGTACAAGCACAGTTTCCATACGCCTCTGTCCACTCAGAACTCACCCTCTCCCTGTTACAACCACACCATGTGAGTAGTTAGAATTAGTGGACCCACGTTGACACGTTCTATTATCTTGAGTTTATAGCGTATGTGAGGGTTCTCTCTGGGTTTACAGGTGTAATCTTATGTGTTCATCATTGTCCTACTGCACACAGTAATGTCATGGACTTAAAAAGCCTGGAGTCCTAGCTATCCATCTCTTCTCCCTGCCAACACTCAGCAACCATTCCTACCCGTGTCTCCACAGTTTTGACTTTTCCAGAATGTCTCATGATTGGAACCATAAGTAAATCACCCTCCCACATCAGCCTCCTTCCTGTCATAACATGCACTTGCTTTGTCTGTGCATGAGACTATAGCTCATTCCTTCTTAGTGCAGAGTAATATTCTAACCCTATACACGCCACAGGCTCTGCAGTTCATCTAACTAGGAACATCTGGATTGCTTCAAGTCTAAGTAATTACTGATGAATGTCCTTTTGTGTGGCCATGAAATTTCAACCCCCTTGTGAAATAATAAGCAGCATGGGTGCTGGTGCTTTGTTGAAAATGCGCGGGCTGCCACCTGTGTTAGCAGTGGCCAAGAATCCCGGTGGCTGTGCATGCCCTCGGCATTGTGTGACAGCCGACATTCTCCGAAATGGCATCACCTCATGTGGTTATCAGTGGTGTTCAATACCGCCATATGCACATTTGTTCCTTTCTGTTTTCTTTGGTCATTCATTCTCCAGGCTGCATCCTGTTTACTGATGAGGCTACAAAACCTTCTTCATTCTGTTCCGGTGCCTTCCATCCTTTAGAATTTCTTCTTGACTCTTAGAAGTTTCATATTTCTTTGTATTACCTGTCTGCATTTTCTGTTGTTGTCGTCTGTTAGCATTAGGTTTCTTAGCATGATAATTATAGCTATTTCACATTTACTGTCTGATAAATCTACCATGTCTGCCATATAGGTTTTATCTGCCTGCCTATCTGTCTCTGTCTACTCATCCATCCATTTCTTGGTCTCTCTTCAAAGTTGTTAGTGTTTTGACTTTTAGCATGACTTATACTTTTTTATTGAAAGGTACATGTGGTACACTGGATAACACGAACTGTAGGCTCGGCCTTTAGTCAGCTGGACAGTGCTAAGGTGTGGGGTTGAGGGAGCATTATTCTGTAGTCCTAGTATTAGATCCCAGTTCTAGGCTGTAAGCTTGACAAGAAACCTCCTGACATTGTTTTGTTTTTTTTTTTTTTTTTTACTCAAGTGACAAAGGATAACCACAGGGGGCTGCAGTTGTGTTTTTTGTTTCCCATCAGAGTGAGGCTCTGAAAAAATCCAACTGCATTGGGCAGTAGTGAAGTGGCTTCTCTGTGTGCAGGTCTTGTTACATGCAAGGATGTAGGTCTGTGTGCAGGTCTTGTTACATGCAAGGATGCAGGTCTTTTCCCTTCACTCTGTCAGATGTCTGGGTGAGTTTTCTCCAGCCTTCCCCAAGAGAACGTGGTGGCCCTCTAGAAGGAAGAACTCACAAGGTTCCAGATCTTCTACCTTGCCCATGATGAGTTTTGTTTCACAGGTTTGTCCACATTTAATCTCCAGGGCTGTGCCAATTAGGGTTCATATTTTCTTACCCTTAGATTTGCTGCCATATAAGATTCTGTCCACATGTTTCTGCTCAGGTAAATCATAATTCTCTACATTGATTAGTTTCTCCAGATTTGGGAGCTGAAGTGTGCCCCAAGAATCCCTCTTCTTTGGTGGATCTAATTATGTACTTTCAGTTTAGCTCTTAACATAATGAGAGGTAGTGGCAACTCTTAAGGCCCTTATGTGCCTGACCAGTACCTGGCCAAATGACTTCTGTATTTGGAAGAATATGTTTCAGAGGCCACAGTTGAAGACGCTCAGAGTCAGTGTTATGGAGATCATGAATGGTATTAAACAGCCATTGCATGTTAATGTCAACTTTTATTATTAACCTTGATGAATATTCCAGTCTTGCATAATGTTTATACTTATGCAAAATATCAGGAAAGAGGTGGGGATTTCTCCTAGTTGGAAGAATCACTGTGTTGGTTAATAGTCTTGTATGTTTTTGAATGAAGGAAAATGATGTTTCTTGGAGGGGGGTTATCTTAAGCGTTAGGGGGATACAGGGCACTCTGCATATGGAAGCCAGTGGTAACTATAAATACAACACACTTCCCTGGGTATTCATTTTCTGTCAGTTCTTAATATTCTTTGATAAATTCATACATGTATACAATGATATATGACACATACATTCCCTGTTCCCCCCACTACCCAGATATGTCCCAATATTTCTCCCCTTTAACATGTTTTCTTTCAATAACCCCCTATGACCAGTTCTCATGGGTTTGGGTCATCCGCTGGGTATAAGAATCCTACCAGTGGCCATATATTCAAAGAATATACTAACATATGCACATTCATGTATATACCAAAATATTATCATGGAATATTTTCCTTGAGCTAGTTATTTACTAAATATTCTGGTATCAATGATAATCTGAGAAATAGTACCAATATCCACATTCTTATGGAGTCTTATCTGAGACAGTGTTGGTACCTTACTGGTCCCAAATGGAGGCAGCAGATGCTCTGGACAGACTAGGGTCTTGTAATCAAACATAACTACTCTGCTAATACAGCTACAGGCAGTGTACTGAAATATCAGTTTCCTCAGTTTAACAAGGAAGATGGACTGTTTGCCTTACAATATTATGTAGGTTAAATGATATGTAGAGTAACTGTTATGTAGATTAACCTGATATTCTTAATCCAGTGTCTAGTTTACAACAGGTGTGCAAGTAGAGATACCCTGGACTTAATTCTAGAGTCTATGTACTGGAATGCATAGACTGACCAGAAACCAGAAACTAGGCAGACTTAATGCTAACTAATAAAATGTAGAGGACATTCATCGGAAAAGAGTTCCTTCTTGACTTTGTGGCTCTTGGCTTACTGAGCTGTCAACTGTGAGGAGGCGAATTTATTAGCATTTGTTTAAGAGGGCCAATGGAAACAGTCCTGTTGCTGATGCGTGATAAAGTAGAAAATGCTAGCTTTGTACTTGTGTATCAATTTGGACAGGAGGATGGGCTCTTTTTTAAGTAGACATATTATGTTATCTTGCAGATAGAGCCAGAGCAGATGCCAAAGCTGCCGAGGTGACCGAGAAGAGGGTAAGACAATGTTTCATAGTCAACTTCAAATTCTGCTTTTCCAAGGAAAATAAATTACTAAACAGAAAAACCATATGTAGCATGATTTCTTTATTCCAAGGTTTAGCTGAGTATGTGTTTGCTTTCTTAGGCTGACCATAAACAATATTTGTGATGATTTCCATTAATTTTGTGGAATTAAGGCAATAGAAACACAAATGGACAAGGGAGAAAGTATTTTTATTTAAATCATATTTCACATATACACTCATGACAATGTTTTTATATATATTGTGTTACTGTAACATATGAGAAAATTAATTTTCTCCTAGAAAATTCAAACAATTAAAGTTTATAGCTTAATGTGGCTATTATAAGTAGAGAACAACATTGAGCCACTAAAGTTCTGGATAGAGTATTTTAATTGAAGCTTTAAAGCCAAGTACATTAAAATATATACTTTAAAAATTAATGCATTATTTTGAACACTATATGTGGAATAGTGTTGAAGTCTATTTACTTTGCAAAATACAGTTAAGATACTGGCATTCTCAGATGACACTGTCCAGTTGCAGGACGTCACTGAAGTGAAAACGAGAGGGTGCTTACAGCATGCACTTGGACACATAATGAATGCATCAGTGACATAAGGAGATCAACTGTGCTCAGACTGCCTGGGTTCATGGTGGCCTTGGGAGGGGCAGACCAGAAATCCTAACTAACTTAACTATAACTTTTGACTATTATAGGTAAAACCTAACCAAACTTTTGACTATTATAGGTAACTATCTAAAATCTGTACTAAATTATACATTTTAAATGAACTATATAAACACAATACCAAACAAGAGGAGAAATATACATATCACAAAATTGACCTTAAATTTGTATCAATAAATGAAAATGCATTCCAAAACAACAGTCTATCCCATAATTCCCTTTTTACCATTAAAAAGAGATTGGTTGTGATCATTAACCAGTTATAACTAACCCCATTGAATGAAAACAAACATTTATAGACAATATTTGGGAATTTTGGCATCGTTCTTTCCAAACTGCTTCCTGTTGATAGGGGGCGCTGTCATGGGGATCCTAAGAAGATGTAGAAATCCTGGCTGTAGTCTGCAAGGCTGCTATGTCCCAGCTGTTTTGAATGTTGGATCACCTGTAACACTGTTTCAGGGGGTCTGGCTTGATCAAACCATATTAGTCTGGAAGGAATCCACAGCTTTTCATTTTCTGTGGAAACAAAAATAGAAATCCCTTTCCCCCGTAACCTGTACTTAGACTTAAATTTTGAAGTTAAAGTATTTTAAAAATATATAAATTGGCTTTCCTCTCCTCCCCTGCTCTTTCTCCTAGCTCCCTATCCACTCACTGCCACCCCCCCGCCCCCCCGCAATATGCTCAGGAGCTCTTGTCCCTTTCCCCTTCTGTGAGGGACCTTGTGTGAATCTCTTAGATTCCTCCTTGTATACTAGTTTCTCTGGTAGTGTGAATTGCAGGCTTGTAATTCTTTGCTCTGTGTCTAAAATCCATATATGAGTGATTACATAGCATGTCTTCTTTTTTGTGACTGGGTTACGTCAGTTTGAGGAAATCCCATTTATTTATTGTTGATCTCAGTGTCTGTGCTACTGGTGTTATGTTCAGGAAGTGGTCTCCTCTACCAATTTGTTCAAGATTGCCTTCCACTTTCTCTTCTAAGAGGTTCAGTGTGGCTGGATTTATTTTGAAGTCTTTGATCCATTTGGACTTGAGTTTTGTGCATGGAGCTAGACATGGGTCTATCTGCAGCCTTCTACACACCATCATCCAGTTGTGCCAGCACCATTTGTTGAAGATACTTTCCTCCTTCCATTGTATACTTTTAGCGGTTTTGTCAAAAATCAGGTGTTTGTAGCTGTGTGGGTTAGTGTCAGGATTTTTGATTCTATTCCATTGGTCTACCTGTCTATTTTTGTGCCAATACCAGGCTGTATTCAGGTTGAAGTCAGGGATGGTGATGCCTCCTGGAGTTCCTTTATTGTACAGGGTTGCTCTGGCTATCCTGGGTCTTTTGATTATTATCCTTTCAAGGTCAGTGAAGAATTGTGCTTGGATTTTGATGGGGATTGAATTGAATCTAGATTGCTTCAAAATGTAGTTACATAGTGTACTAACAAAATAGTACTGAAGCTTTTTGTATTACATCAATAGACAACGTGTTTAGAACTGTTATTATGGAAAGAGAAACAACCATGGACTAGACACATTATTCTTAAAATTTATTGCAAGATTTGCTTTACTCAACATGCTGTAAGATTTTTCAACTACATATTCAACTGGATCAAACTCCGGTTATCAGCCAGGCTTGGCGGCAAGTGTCTTTACCCAGTGACCCATCTTTCTGGCCCCGAGTGCTTGGTTGTCCTCAAGCTCATTTGGCCTCTGCCGCTTCCATTTTAGCTATTGTTACTTATTTTTCATATATTTATTAGAGATATCTTTTCAGAAAACTTCATCCATATCTGTACCCACTTTCCCTCACCCCACGGTTTCTGTCGTTCCTAATTGATTTGTGAATGTGCGTGCACTCATTAGTTATCAGTAGATTATCAGTGTATTACTAGTTTTTCACTTATTCATCAAAATGTTTAGCAGTTCAGGTAATTTTGTTGTCTTAGAGTCTTCTTGCTTTTGAGACCTGCTTGAAAACATTGCCAATTGAAGCTTGTGCTTGACTTCAGTTTTCCTCTGTGGCTCTGGCCACTGTGAAGTACAGCTCCTTCTCCTGCCCCAGGCCCAGATCACTTCCTTAGGACAGTTAGGGTGACTCCTGGAGAAATGCCACAGCTGTCTCCAACAAAGGCCACAACAAGGATGGTACTTCCAGTTTAAGTAATATTTTGTTGTTTAATTTGCATTTCTTAGCATTTTTTTATTTTTACAAATTTATATGATCTGTATATATTTGTAATAAAGGCATTCACTTTTCCTTGGATTTTGCTAGTATAGCACATGCTTCTCCTTTACCCCTAGAAGTGTAGATAGTAAACATTTGTGTGTGCACACATGTGCTTTTAACTTTGATTATTACACTATTAAAATGCATGGGGGACAGTATGGTGGGAAGGATAGGAACGGCATCTAGAGTTAGACCATGAGTTACAGATTCCAAATCCTATCACTTGCTGCAGTGCGAGCCAATATTTGCTTCTTAATTCTCTAAGCTCCCGGTTTCTTCTTATGTAAGAATAAAAGTATTGCAGAACAGTTTCTCTGACAGTGTTACCTCACCACCCTTTGAGTGAGGGTAATGTTTTAAAGATGTTAGCTGCCAAGGGAACATGGATTTATTTCACATGTTGTGTGAACACAGGGCACAAAATATTATCTTCAGCTTCCTAATCAGCTACCCCAATGCTGCCATTGAATTGTATGCAGTTTTTCCATTCTCCACTTTTTATGATCTGTACATGTCTTCGTTTTAACACAAGGCATTTGATATGTTAAAATATCTATTTCCATATCTATTCTTTATATTCATTAAGCAAATTCCAAACTGCTTTATTCTCTCTGTCTTTTCTTTGATATGTGAACTAGTGACCCAGCTTTTCAAAACTTTTATTACTCTTGCCTATTGACTTTTCAGATGAACCTTAACAGTATTTTGCCAAGAAATGATTTAGTCAGAGGAATACTACTAAGATGGTGATTGGTATTGTGAAAGAAACTCATGTGCTAATTATGGAGAAGGTGTGTTGATTGTGCAAAACCCACTTGTGTAGAAACTAACTGGTCTTGTTCAGCTTTCTTTAGTTCCTAATGAATAGTCTTATGTTCCTAATTAACTTGATAGCAGCTGAGTTTTACTGGCTGGAAAGGGTTTCCTTTTCACTTTATCCTACCACCCCTGTCCTCCTTTCTTTGTTTTTGATCACACACAGACACTATGTGTGCGGGTCTTTTTCCTAATGCTTACTAATACCAAGAATTTAACTTGTATCATTTGCAAAAAAAAAAAAAGCTAGTGATCATTCTCTTGTGATACATGTATAATGAAATAATTTAGGTCATGCATTTCTTGATGAAGAAAATTTCCCAGATCTATTACAAAAGTTCTTCCTAACAACCAGACCCTCTGAACCAGCCTGGTTAGTAGGACAGCCTGGAACACTTCATGACTAGATGCCTGTCCCTGCGTGGGACTTGGTAAGCTCGTGCTTGTTAATGTGGAATCTGTGTACTACAACTCAGTGCATTTACTTATCTTCATATGCATCTCCCCCAAGAGACAAGCATCATGACCAGTCTACACTGCTGAGAAATAGGGCAGGGTGGTAGAGAACCCAGGCAGTTTCCACCCCTAAGGTGCACTCCACCTGGGCTCTGCTTCCTAAAGGCCCCAAATGCCTTCAAAATGGCACCATGAGCTGAAGCTGAGTCTTGAAGATGTGAACTTGTGGGGAACCTTCCAGATGGAAACTGTAGCAGTCAGTGTCCCAGCCAAAATGGAGATTGGTCCATTACTCCAGACAGTTTCTCAGTGGGAATTTAAAGTGTAAGCATGCATGTTTGATGTGCACTTACTTATTCCAAACATACAAAAAATACATATATTATTATAACATTGTGTCTTTATTACTCTCAGTCATCAGTGAAGCTTTAATAGGTACATACTGACCTCAGTCCTCATCCACAGCAGCAGCGGTCAGTGTTAAACAGCCTTCCAGGGGAGTGATAGTGAACAGGATACTCTTAGTGCCTCAATAATCAAACATGGTTCAGTGTTACAAGATGTATGGCTTCTCTACAGGAATTATGCAGAATAATAATTAATACTAAAGTATTAAGATTAAACAACATGCTAGTTACTCCCATAGCCTTTTAGGCTCAGTTATGAGGGCAGGCAAAAAAATCCCTGCCTCAAATATCCACACCTGGTTCCAGTGATATTTGCTGTTAAAAATTTTAAAAATACCTTCTTGGGTTCTTTTACACAATTTAACCTTTGCTTACATTTGACTTTCAGCCCATGG